GGTCGTGGGGGTTATTCACCACCCTGGTTACTGCTTTATTTATGTCTATATTTACATATTGAAACAATCATAGCAGGTAAAGCCCACTGAGCTGTTTTTCAGAGGCGAACCGGCCACACATGATAGATCATCGAAGTGGCTTATCATCACACGTGGGGATTCATAGCAGCAGACACATAATGAAAGCGCGTGTTGTTTCTAAATGTGGGGGAGGAGGATGAGGGCAGAACCGGAGGAACCCGGATACAAATCCACACTGCGACCACCACGGAGAGAGAGAGGGAACACACGGACTCCAGATATAACGTGCTTCAAAAACATGTTAACACTTCTGAGAATTTGCAACAATACCACGAGAAATGTCCTCTGGAGACCACCTGGAGAAGATTCCAGGCACGTGTTGACAATGCTGGCGAACAAGTGGAGACTCCTTGACTTTTTGAAGCTATTAATATTACATTTGTTATCATGTTGGCCTATCATTATATTTTGCCACTGGTAAAGGAGGTCTCTTAGAGTGTATTATCCGTTTCTTTTTCTATTAAAAACGACAGTCCCATGTAAGTGTTAAACATTTTTTAAGCACGCTGTATACAACACCAGGCATCGCCAGGGTCTGGAAATAATCGAACCCACGTCCCTCCTGCGCTCCAGGCGAGGGAGATTACATCTCCATGTCGCTTGTGGGTTGCTGGAAGGGGTTGGTGTGGGGGTGGCAAGAAGGGAGCTTTAGTTGATCGATGTTTTGGTCGTTCCCAGACATGTGGCAGCTGTGGGGCTTGGGTTGATTTCACTGGAAGTGCGGCAGGGCCAGCCTCAGGTGCCAACGTCGTTACCAAGTGATCGTGCTGTAGATTTGAATGGAAAAAAAGCTTGAAAACTCACCACACTCGTCTCTAATATCGCCCGAACAGAATATATAATCATGAGATTTAATAGACGACGCTTCGGGCATTGCACCTAAGAGAGGCCAGAAAGTTGGCATATTGTGCCTATATATTTACAGGCGCAATAAGCAACGCTTTTGTTAATACTCCCTTTAAGCACGATACGATCCCATCACTGGGTGGACCGAGTACTTTGCCTGGCGTGCAGTGTGACGTTGAAGCCAGAAAAAAGCGCGAGGCGACCAATCAGCGCCGTAGTTGCCTTACGGTGGGGGGGGGGGGGGGGTTTCTGGACTGGAGGGGACTCTCCACCACCCCTACACCCCCAATATCAACACTCCCCAAATCGCCACTAAGCGACGGCGACGTCACCACGGCGCCCGTGCCAGGCCAGGTGCACTTTGAGGCCACGTGAAGCGTCGAAGGCTTCGCTGGCAGGAGGAGGTCTCGGGACAGACCCAGCAGGTGCCACGGGTTGGCTGACTGAGATGACCGGTAGATGCACCGTCAGCTGTACCCCCATACTGTGCCAACTTGCTGTATAAAATAATAAATTAAATAGTAGCATACTACGACATTTCGATTGCAACACAAGCAATCATCAGGTATAAAAGAAATAGCAACAAAAATCTAACCAGAAAACTATAGACAGACATATAAGCAGACAGATATCACAAAGATACACAGAGAGAGAACACGTATCGGCACAAAGAGAGAGATCGTCTCTGTGACGAGGCCTTAAATAGAGAGAGGGGGGCGGGGGCGGAGAGAGGGAGGGGGCAAAGAAAAAATTAGCATGTCAATGAGTACGACGATGTGTGGTACGGTACGCAAGCTTGAAAATTACGAAGACGACGCATGGTACGGTACGCAAGCTTGAAAATTAGGTGAACGGGAGAGAGACACACTAAAATTAAATAACCTAGCAAAATATCGAAATGTAATGTAATGCAACACAGAGAGTCGGTCAACACACAATTAACGCATATGCGTTAATTGTGTGTTGACCGACTCTCTTTACCGAAAGAACCAAAGAGTAATCCCTGCAGTCACGAAAGCTCCAAATTAAGACTGTCGTCGATTGTTAAACGGTGACCGTGCCTCGTGGCCTTAGTTGTCGTCGAGTGTAAATGGTGACCGTGCCTCGTGGTCTTAGTTGTCGTCGAGTGTAAACGGTGACCGTGCCACGTGGCCGTAGTTGTCGTCGAGTGTAAACGGTGACCGTGCCTCGTGGCCTTAGTTGTCGTCGAGTGTAAACGGTGACCGTGCCTCGTGGCCTTAGTTGTCGTCGAGTGTAAACGGTGACTGTGCCACGTGGCCTTAGTTGTCGTCGAGTGTAAACGGTGACCGTGCCTCGTGGCCTTAGTTGTCGTCGAGTGTAAACGGTGACCGTGCCTCGTGGCCTTAGTTGTCGTCGAGTGTAAACGGTGACCGTGCCTCGTGGTCTTAGTTGTCGTCGAGTGTAAATGGTGACCGTGCCACGTGGCCTTAGTTGTCGTCGATTGTAAACGGTGACCGTGCCACGTGGCCTTAGTTGTCGTCGATTGTAAACGGTGACCGTGCCACGTGGCCTTAGCTGTCGTCGAGTGTGCAGGCGGTGCGACTGCTCTGAGGCCCGCGGTTTGATATGGGCCCAGGCGCTGGGCTACGCAAAAGAGGGGTGGGTGAATTAGATGGAGGGCAGAAGTTAGGGGGTGTTTCATTTCATGCACCGGACCAGGGCCAATGCCAACCACGTGACGCCAATGGTTCCCATGGCGACTTCCTCGCACCGCCATTGATCTGTTTTCCTTTGTCGCCTTCGTTTTCCTCTTGTCCAGAATAAGTCGAGCAACTTTCACCCTTTTCCAAAACGGAACGATGTCTCTGTAGCGGCCACCGGTGGAGTCTTGCGCTGTGAGGTATGACGTTTTTTGTGTGTGTCTACCACATAGCCGTACTTAGTACCGCTTGCGATTCAACTAAATCTGTCACACGTGGTTGAATTGCCACACCCCCTTCACTTAGTGACGTAGATTATCAGTGAATGGAAGTCTGTCCGCGATTGGATGGAATCACACGAGGGAGCACGTGGAGATCGCGTACCCGTAAAACTCACTCACGACGCCCTAGTTACGTTCAACAGCGTATGAGGGGCGTGCACGTGGTTGCCTTATTTTGTTTGTTGCGGTTGCACCCGACTTAAGAGCCGCATGGCTCACAGGGCTACACCTAATAGATGAAACTTAAAAACTTACCTTTAACCCGTCCACCGAGAAGGGCACGTGTTTTTGTTTAAATGGATTTTTCATTCGTATCATCGACTTTCATGAGCCTCGGCCGTAAACGAGAAACCCGCTACTGTCTTTATTAAATATAAGTACGGTGTGTAAAACATCAGCACGAGGGAAGACAAAGGCGGCCGGGGGTGGTTGTGGCCACGGTGGTTGTGGCCACGACCACGGGCTGATGCGCCGTGCCGGCCTAAACAATGTCTTCGCACACAGCACTTGCCCCAAAAATCATATGGAGGCTACACGGGTTATCTTTGTCGTGGAATATATATAGTAAACTTATATATGTGTTGGGGGGGGGGGACACGTTATTTAGCACAGCTGTGAGCCAGTTGAATGTACACACACTCCCGTCTCCATCACAACCACGAGTCAGTCATCCAAGTCACGACACGGACCCATTGCCACCCCCCCCCCCCGCATGTACACATTGAGAGCGTAGAAGCGCAGTGGAATTCAGTTACCGTATTCTCTTGATTACGGAGTACTCCGGAAAGTAAGACGCGCCCAAAGCTCGTGCACTGTGTCAATAGAGTTGCAGTAGAAACATTGATTCACACACACACACCTCCTCCACCCCGCACCTACGATTAACACGGTTGGCTACGTACGGCGTCGAACGAAGAAATTCAACATACATACGTGCCTACCGGAGTATAAGACGCAGCCTCCATATTTTGCTATCGCTATTCCTCTTCCCTGCCGAAATTTGTACATTTGCATCTTACGGGCAAACCAAAGAATGTTTTCCAAAATCTCGTAAAACTATTCCCGGTTCCAAAAAAAAAAAGAGTAACTCAGATAAAGTTTAGAGCTTGCAAAAATCCCAGTTGGATCGGCGTGATGGCGAGACCGTGTTGTTTTTTCTCTCTCTCTCACTCTAAATTGTTTTTTTTTGTAGCCGCTGGCTCAAACGGCTGTAGACGACTGCGTCACGCTCGCGAGAGAGAGATCGAGAAACAAAACGCACAACTACTCGGGTTGTTTTGCTTTTTTGTTGTCATTTTGTTGTCGTCTTCCAAACGTCGCCTTTGCTTCATTCCCAATCGCGCTACCGGCGTGCCACGCTTCGTTAACAATCTCCGAGCTCGGCCAGAGACAGCCGCATCACCGCCTGTTCGAGAAACGGTCCGCGGAAGCAGATAGCACCGAACAGCTTCTGAGATCCAAAACCCCACTCCTCCCTTCCCCCAATCCATCACGTTACCCCCAAACGCCTCCCTCCCTCCGCCACCCCTCCCCCGAGCCCTCTCCTCCCAACGCAGCCATAAATCGCGCTGCGTGTCAGCCCGTTTCGTCTCGCTGCTTTAGGCTTACTAACGAATTAATGGAGACTAAGCGGGAACAATGTCTCCGTCCTGTATCTGTCTCTCCACTTTAGTAGCGGTCATGGGGGGGGGGGGGTCGTAGTGGGGAGCGGTGGCGCAGTGGGTTAGCGCACTGCGCTACAACAACAAAAATCGATCACCCGATTTCAATTCCCGCTCACTGCCAACATCCGTGGCGATAATTTGAATCCGTCCTGAGCCTCGCCTTTCTCGATTCATCCTCAAATGAGTACCTGGTGCAGTGTGTCAACGTCGCCACTGGGGAGACAAAGACGGCCCTGCGTGGTGCTGGTCACACATCCCCCTCGTGTGCCGTGCCGACCTTTATAGTTGCTGCTAGCTAACAGCACTTGCCCCAACAGTCTGTTAAAGGCTGTACGGGGGATCTTTGTCTTTGGGGTGGTGGTGGGGAGGGGAGAAAAAGGTGGTAGAGGCAGGGGGGGTTGGGTGGGTGTGCACGTGACGTCACGGTGTGGGGGGGGGGGGTGGAGGTTTCTTATCCAAGCCACTCTCGCGTTCCACTCTCATCCCGGGTGCGCGCTGTTGGTGCGCGTGCGTGCGCGTGTGTGTGTGTGTGTGCGCGCGCGGGGCTCCACGTGACACCTTCTCCCGCGATTGAAATCGGCGTGGGAAAAGTTTAATTGTCGAACAGATAAGAAGTTCACCATCGTCGTCACCGTCATCGTCTACGACAGCCTCATCGATAGCATCTACACCAGCATCATCTTCTCTCGCGACATCTACAAATAATAACATCGACATCATCTGCATCATCATCATCCACATCGCCTCTAGCGAAATCTGCATCGTCTGCACAAACGAACATCCTCATCTTCATCCATATGCATATCGAGCGTATTTAGAATGCCATTAACTTCAGTTGCAACATCGACATCATCTGCACTTAATCGTATCGACATATCAATCGCAACGTCTACATCATCTACGTAATCTGCAAATTCCATCGACATCATCGACAGAAAACATTGACACAGTCTACGTCGTCTCCATTAAACCAGTAGCCACATCATCTACAAACATAATCGAGGCGACACAGACCATCTGCAAGGCCATATACATAAACGTCATCTGCATACCACCAACATCACCATCCCCAACATCTGTAACAACATCATTTCCGATTAATGTTGAGAACATTCAATTCAAAGGCCATCTGCAACAACATCGTCATCATCGTCGACATCATCTACAACATCGTCTCCGGCAACATCTACAACCTCGACATCTACAGCAGCAGCATCTACATCAACGTCTGCAGCAGCATCTAGATCAGCGACAACAGCAACACCATCGCCATCAATATCATCAGCAGCAACGATGGAACGTTCAATATGAAGTTCATATACACACTGTAAGCACATGGACATTGTGCTGCGGTCGTGTGTGTGTCTGTACAAGTTTGACTGTTGTCAAATGACACGACGATTTGTCAACACGATCGACTTCCCGGGATATAATTGATTACATCCACTCCGGATCGCCAGGAGATCTTCCTCGAGCCGACCGCCAGCGAGAGAGAGCGAGAGCAACGATTACCATGGTGGTCATCTTACACGCGTTGTTATCCTGCCGAGAACGACGGTGATGGTGATGATGATCAGGAAGATGATGGTTGTGGTAGTGCCGAAGACGCCGGAGTTGATGATGGCGATGCCATAGATCCAGAAGACAGCGTGGACGATCACCTCCAGAGTTGTCAACCCTCAATCCTTCTAGTCATCCATCCGTCTATCCATTAGTCCATTCACCCAATAACTTCCTGCACCTGTCAATTCTGCTCGATCGTGTGTTCGCCCATCCTTCAAGCTAGCCACACACCGACCTATTCACGCGTCCGTATAGTCGTCATCTATTTATCTAGTCACCCAATCGTCTATGCGTCCACCTATTCACCCGACCAACGGCTCAAAAATCAGCGTATATTGACACACCCATAGAGTCACTCACTCACCCATCCATCTATTCATTCGATAAGCACAGCGTCGATTCAACTCTTCACCCATCGAACTATTCGTTGCTCTATTCAGCCGCCAGTATTTTTCTTGACACACTCGCGTGTCCACCCCATCCGTTAGGTCGCCTATATCCACTACCACCACCACTACATCTATCCACCACTCATCAATTCGTCTCCGAAAAAAACTCAACCCCCCTCGTTCGCTCATCTGATCACCAACTTTCGCGCGTCAACTCATTCAATCGCCTATCCATCCATTCGCCTGCCTATTCGTTCACCTCACACCAACACCTCCTCCTCCTTCCACTCTCATCGGTAGCAGGGTAGCAGAGTCATAGCTCGGCTCGTAGCCCGCCGGCCCGCCCGCGATGTCTTCTCTGGGCGCGCTGTGTCTCCTCTGTGGCGCGTTGTGGTCCTCGGCTGGCCTCACGTCGGCCAAGGGCACGTTCCAGCCCCTGGGATACAACCTCTACTCGTGGGGCTCCGGGCCCTCGCACCCTCCCGGAGTTGGATTTCGACCCCACAACAAACACAAGTAAATTTGTTTTGTTGTTGTTGTTTTCTTTGCACGTTCGTAATAGCCTCAACGAGATTGTTGGGGCGAGTGCTGTTCCGCGAGTGAGCAGCCTACGAAGGCTGACACGGCACGCTAAGGGTGGGTGGGGGTGGCAGGCACCACGCCCGGCCGCCTTTGTCTCCCTAGTGGCGATGTTTACACACCGTGCCAGGTGTTCATGCTGAGGCTGAGTCGACCTTAGGGGGAGGCCCAGGACCGGTTCAGATAATCGTCAATAGTGTTGACCGTGAGCGGGAATCGAACTCGGGTTGTCGGGTTCGTAGCGCTAACCGCTACACCACCGCTCCCCAAGCTCGTGCAGTCACACACTGCGGTGAGATGGGGGGCGAGCTAATATCAGACTCGGATGTAATCTCTCCCACGGTTAGGACAACGTGAATGATCTCGGGCCAACAATCTGTGTCGTAAGACCCAGGCCCTCCGCCACCCCGACGAGGTCGCCGCACATTGGCGGAGGGAGCTCTTACGGCGCACATTTGGGCAGCTCGTTACGTTCGCCTGACTCACGGAGAACGATTGCAAATCGTGAACACTGCCCGCGATAAATAAAAAAAACCAAAGGTGCTATAAACCAGATATCCGCCCGTTTGGCTCAGCGGCGAAGCAAGAGGCTCGCAATCGTAAAAGGGTCGCTAGTTCACATCTTGGCTGGGGTGGTTTCACTCAGCCCATCGTCCCTTCGGAGTTGATTAAATCGGTAGCACTTTGCAGGGGAGTCAACGGTGGTTGCCCTATGGATATACCCGCCCCCTCGCCACGGGAACGTGGAATTTCCACCACGGGTTCGGCACTGCCAACGGTAACTTGAACTCCCTCGGCAATTCTCATTTGAGCAGGAGATCACTTTGGAGTGTGCGGTGCTGTGCGGTTGCGTTGTGGTTACCGAACTGAGCAGTTCAATTCCCGGCCAGGGCTAACATCAAGTGGTGATTAATCTGAACAAGCCATGGGCCTCCCTTAGGTCGACTCAGCCTTAAGTTCGTACTCGGTGCAAAATATCAGTACGTCGGACGTGTGCGTTATGCAGTATTGTATAAACGGTACGTATTCATAATTGATTCATGAGTTATAGGCCACATAATGATCTGGTTAAAGATGTGTCTCCATCACCCTACGGAGCCACAGGTGGACAGACACAGGTGAAAGTCACCATTGGGTTCAACACAGATAAACTAGTTGTATTATCAGTGTGCACGTGTGTCTTAGGTTGGGGAGACAAAGGCGGCCGGGCCACCCACTCCCTCTGTTGGCCTTTATGGATTATAATAGGTGTTAACAGCCAGCAACCACGCCGAGCCGCCTTTGTCTCCCTAGTGGCGATGTGTTAACACACCGCACCAGGGGCGTATTTGAGGCTGAGTCGACCTAGGGGATGCCCGGGACCGGCGCAAACAATCGTCACTGATGTTGGTGGCTGTGAGCGGGAATCGAACTCGATCCCCACACACAGAGAAAGATCCCCCGTATAGCCTTAGCAGACTGTTGGGGCAAGTGCTGTTAGCGAGTAGCACCTATGAAGGCCGGCACGGCACACGAGGGGGTGGGTGGCCAACACCGCGCCCGGCCGCCTTTGTCTCCCCAGTGACAATGTATTTCTTTTTTACACACAGCACCAGATACTCAATTGAGGCTGAGTCGACCTAGCGGAGGCCCAGGACCGGTTCAGATAATCGTCACACAGACACACGCTGACACACACACACAGACACACACTAACTTACACACACACGCAACACGCGAGCACGTGTCGGAGTTGAGTGAAGGCGGAGGAGGCGCGTCCAGGGATGATGAGGAGGAGAAGGAGGAGGAGGAGGGATGAAGAGGCCGTGTCCGCACGGACCCGAGGAGACTGCGATCCCGGACTGACCCACGTGTAGCTCCCCCCTCTTCATTAACGTCTCTCGCGGCGTAACCACTACCACATGTGCCCGTTCCTCTGTGTGTGTGTGTGCCTGCGTGGGGAGCGGTGGCGCAGCGGTTAGCGCGCTGCGCTGCGCTACGAACCCCGGCGATCTGGGTACGTATCGCGCTCGTAGCCAACATCAGTGACCATTATCGAAACCGGTCCTGATCCTCCCGTAGGTCGACTTAGCCTCAAATGAGTACCTGATGCGGTGGGCAAATATCGCCACTGGGGAGACAAAGGCGGCCGGGCGTGGTGCTGGCCACCCACCCCGTCGCGTGCCGTGCCGGCCTTCATAGGTGTTCGTTAACAGCACTTGCCCCAGCAGTCTGTAATGCCTATACAGGGGATCTTTGTCTTTGTGTAAGAGGGTATACGTTTGAACTGGCTTGGGTGCTCCATCATTGATCCTGACGGGCCATCACCCCCCCCCCAATCCCCCTCCTTCCTCTCCCTCCCTCTCCTCCTCCACCACTCCCCCAGACGTAATCACCAATCAGGCAGTCAGTCTGAGGTTACGCAGCCACGCATTCTAGGTCGCACACACACGCAGTGCTGCATGCGTACCTGTACACTAAACGCGGGTCCTTTTTATTATTATTTCATTACACGCGTTTATTTAACTCACTCTGTCTGTTGTCGTATCCTCAAAACATCTTGTGACTTAATTTTTACCCACTTCCCAATGTGCTATCGACTGCAAACTTGGTATACTTATGTCATACTGATGACAAGACTATATTATATCATTAAACTACAATTTAAGCAATCTTTTGTATGACTTATGTTTCGGCTTGGGACTAATTGTCCACACTCAACTGACGTTGGCTGTAAATCACCACGGCCCCTGAAGTTATGGCAAGCCTCGGGGCCACTTTCTGGAGTCGTGGAGTTCTGCCATTACTCGTACGGTACATTTAATTAAAGCGTGTTTTTAAGAAAGTATTTTTTTAAATATTACTTATTCTGTTGCTGTCAATCCACCGCTGGATGAGGGCCCTATACCACACGCCGTGCCTGGTCGTGTTGGGGAGTATTTTTGACCATACTTCACCACGCTGGTCGGTGCGGGTGTGCCCGATGGCACAGCTGTGCGCCTCGATGTGTACAGAGCGTGCCAGCAATGTCGTGAACACGTGGACGATGGGACAGCGAGCGGAACAAAAGTTTGCGCAGGGCAGCCGTGTGTGGGGTGGAAAGGGGGATCAGGAGCACGATGATAACCCGAGGCGGGGGAGAGAGCTACGCGTGAGGATTTATAATAATCACTCACATTTGTAAAGTGGCGCATTTCATCCGCCGTCTATTGGAAGCCAGAAAATAAACAGAAGCCTGCGGGGTGCCCGACCAGAGCGAGACGGGCGGTGAAGGCAGGACCCCCCCCTCACCCCCACCCCCTCACCCCCACCCGTCACCACCCACCACCTCACCCCTACCCGTCAACCCCCACCACCTCACCCCACCCCCTCCACCCCCACACCCACCCCCTCACCCCCACCCCCAACCCCTCACACCCTCACCCCCTGCCCCTCATCCACTCCCCCACACCCCCTCACCCCCACCCGTCACCCCACACCCCCACCCTCTTACCCCTCACCTCCTCACCCCCTGCCCCTCACCCCCTCACCCCTCACCCCCACCCCCCACCCCTCACCCCCCAGGACCCCCTCGTCGTGGGCAAGCCCTCATCCAGCAGCGGGCGAGCAGAGGGCACGTGGCACGCGCCATCTCTGTGTGATGGTGACGCGTTGGTGTGATGTCATGTTTTCGTATGATGATGATGATTGAATTACGTGATGGTGTAATGCTGCGATATTGTTATCACTCACCCACCCACCCTTTCCTGCGCCTTATATAGGAACGACGCTGTGATGGTGAAGTGGCGATTGGTGTTTGTATGGAGTGATGTGATGCTGTGGGCGGTGTGATGCCGTGGTAGCGTAATGATGTAACGGTGTTATGGTGTAGTGTGATGCTATTATTAGTACATGACGACATGACGCTGTGATATTACTGTAAGAACCGGTGTGATGATGTGATGATGTAATGCTCCGTTGGTATGATGCCGTGACGGTCTAACACTGTGGTGGTGCGACTACGATTAGCTTCCCGGCACCTCCGATTAGCGCGGCTGGCTACGTACGGTGCGAAAGAAGTTCAACACACGCGATGTGATGCTAGGATGGTGTGACGCTGCGGCGTTGTGAGTATAGGAACTGGTGCGAGCGTGCAATGAAGACGTGATGGTACGAAGCCGTGAGGCTGTGACGCTGCGGCGGTGGTGGTGGTGGTGTGACTCCAGGAACTGGTGCGCCTTCGTGGTGACCAAGAGCGTCACGTGCGTCATACAAAACGGCAGCGATGCCCACGTGAAGGCCGAGTACCAGCCCTGCACGTGGGGACTCTCCAAGTGCTCGCGAACTCTCACGTGGGTCAACGACGACGATGATGACGATGATATTGACGACGATGACGACGTCGATGATGACGACGACGACGATGATGACGACGACGATGACGAATATGACGACGTCGATGATGACGACGACGATGACGATGATGACGACGACGATGATGACGATGACGACGATGATGACGACGACGCTTCTCCACACCGCCCCGTGCACTGTTTTATAACGGACGAGTAACGCGTTATAACGGAGCGCTCTGTGTGATAACGGATGCGTACCGCGTTATAACGGGCGCGTTTCGCGAAAAGTTATTCCTAGCAGGGAAACCGTGTTATAGCTAAAATGTGTTATGTGAACAGGCGTTAATCGAGGACTTGCCGTTTATAACAGGCGACGTTTCGGGCGATGAGCGGGAATCAAACTTGGGTCGGCAGGTTCAAAGTGCAGTGCCCCAACCCCTCTGCCACCGCTCCCCGCACGAACACACAAACACAACTGCCACGTGTGTCACTGCAAGAGGCCGCTCTTAGTGACATAATTGACTGAGCACCTTAATGATTTGAATATTAAAAACACGGCTGTTGTTTCCCGGTGGAATCTCCCTATCCCCTCCCCCTCTAGTACCTGATTAGTGCAGCCGAGATGACGAACGTCGTAGCGATGTTGTTTTTTTAACAAATCGCGCCCTCTGCTCACGTGATCCGGCAGATACCGCGTGTACCAGCGGCCCACATACCGCGTGGGCTACAAGTCGGTGACCGAGCTCGAGTGGCGCTGCTGCCCTGGCTACCACGGGGTCAACTGCCAGGACGAGACGGGCGGCCCCGGGGTGGGCACCGGTGGGGTGCCCAGCGGGGTGCCTGGTGGGGGTACTGGAGGTGGGCCCGGTGGGTACACCGATGAGGTCCCGGGGGGCTCCGTGGACGGAGTGCCTGGAAGACCGCACACAGGCGATGGAGGAGGTCGCCAAGTTCCCAGCCAGAAGATCGACGGACCTGGTGAGACGAGGGCGGAGGTGGCGCTGTCTTCTGCCGTGTGGCAGGAGGGAGAGGCGATGGTCATCAGCAGTTTGTTCGGCCCAATCCTTCGGGGGTCAGAAACCTGTGGCTCCTGAGCCGAATGCGGCTCTTTGCCTGCTGCGATGTTCGTGTGCACGTGGCTCTGCGTGTTTAGTGGCTCTGGGAATATTTTGGGAAAGGGCAGAACAACGAAACAATGGCTCTGCTTCCTCTTCTTCTCTGAAAGGTTGTCCACCTCAGCACCAATCCACCTAGAGGCTGTTATTATATATTATTACAAAAGTTGTTATTCTGTTACACTGTTGTTGTTGTTGTTGAAATCACATCTCATGGTGGTCGTCAAGGGGGCCCCAACTCGTAGCTCTTGCCACCAGAGGTGCCCCCACACTCGTTACGCGACCGCCACACCAACCACCATCACCACCATCACCACCACCACCATCATCGCCACCACCACCACCATCGCCACCACCACCATCATCGTCGCCGCCGTTTATCTCCACCCAGGCGGCAGGGCCCCCTCCGACCTGCTGGGCGAGCGCGTGTCCCGGCTGGAGGAGGACAACCGGCGCCTCACCTCGTCGCTCGAGACGCTGCGAGTCTCCCTGGCCGGCATGGCCGATCGCCTCCGTGCGGCCGCACAGGAGGACGCGAGCCGCCTGCTGCTGGGCCTGCTAGAGAGCGGCGCCAACACGCGCCTGCCCGAAGGCACGGCGATCCGGGACCCCGAAGGCCTCCTGCCCGACCTGCGCGCCTCCGGCCTTCGGCTGGGGCCCAACGGGCAGCTGGTGGCGCCGGGCCTCCAGGAGGTGGCCTCCAAGGTCACACACGTGACCGACGTGCTCAAGGTGGGTTGGACGGGGGCGGACGGGTGCCGGTTTAAAAAAAAAACTACAGGAAAAAACTAAAATAATGTTTTTTTTCTTCTTGGTTCTTTTGGTAAAGTTGTGGCCGAAACGTCGTGAGAATTATTTTATTATGTTTTACTTTTATTATTTTATTATTTCCATTCTACGTGACTTTACCGAAAGAACCAAGAAGATGAATCCATGCAGTCACGAAAGCTTTAAATCGAAATTTAATGTTTTTTTTGTCGTAATAAAGGTTTTTGGGTTAGATATGAATGTGTTGTAACTCTCCACCACCCGACGCAGCCAATCGCCTGATGATGCTGGATGTAATTACCAGCGGAACGTCGTACTACTCAAGTTGTAAATGTTGTGGATTTACTCTCCAACGCACCGGTGGGCTGAAGTAGTGACTAAATTGCGTTTTGTTTACGTGACAAATCCCTTACTAATTGGCCGTGTCAGGTGGTGGAGGGTTACGACACATTTATACTTACGCGATCTAACCCAATTACGTTTATGATGAATAATATTGATCGCGAAAGTCTAAGTGTAAAATAAGGCCCCACTGAACTGTATAGCTTTTTTTTCAGAAGCGACCCGAAAAATCACAAATGACAGCTCAACGAAGTGGGCTTATCATCACGTGGAAATTCATAGCAACCAAATACTCTAAACGCGTGATGTTGATTCTAAATGTGGAGGGAAAAACCGGTGGACCCAGAGAAAAATTCACGCCACCACGGGGTGAGAGAGACACGCAAACTCCAAATATACAGCAGGCATCAAGGTCGGGATCAAACCCACAACCTCCTGCATACCAGGCGAGGTAGTTAACATCTCGCCACCGTGGCTAAATGTAACGATTGTAGTAACTGAATACCGATTCGAGTTTTTTTTTTTGTCGGGGCGTCTTAGAGCTCTGTACACGCACACGTGCCCCCCCCCCCCCCCCGTGGATTGTTATCCCCTCCCCTCGCCTCTCCTTCCCGTGTCTCCCCTCCCCCTCTCGTGATCCCCAAGTGCCCCTCTATCGCTGCTGTCACTCATTCCTCAATATCGCGCACGCCCCTCGGCGTCTAAACCGACTCGTTGTGGATCACCGTTTTTTACACGTTGGCAAGCGCTTTGGGCGAAGGCGCTCTGTAAATATAAAATTAGGTTAGATAATTCTGACTTCCTCGATTTTTGCTTGACGATGCTTGGCACGGTTCCAAACCCATCGGCGCGTGTGTAATCGGCGTGTGTGTAACCGGCACGTGTGCAATCGGCGTGTGTGTAATCCGCGTGTGTGTAATCGGCGCAAAACTTAACTGTGAGAATGATTCCGTCAAACTCAACGGTGAGTAAGCTGGATGAACGATAATGATCGGTGCGTTCAAAAACGCTCGTCCGCGTGACGATTTAATTCGTTCGTGTTGTGTTGGGTGGTGGGGGGGGGGGTGACTTGACGACACAAATGTGGTCAGATCGTGGCGTGACCTCACGTAAAAAAAAAAATCTAGCTGCGAATCACCATCACGACCTATCGCCATCATCGTCACCGTCATCGTCGTCGTGACGAATCGTCCCCCTTCTCTCCTCTCGTCCCAAAACAATGCAGACGAAGAGCGAGGCTCTGGACGAGCTGCAGGGCCTGGTGCTCGACCACACGCACAAGATCCAGCAGCTCATGGACATCAGCAGGAACGGCGCCGACTCGGCGGCGGGCCACGACCTCTCGTCCATCGACGCGCACCTCCAGAAACGCATCGACGACGCCAGGGCGCAGATCCTGTCTGGCGTCGAGCAGAAGACGTCGGCGCTCAAGTGCAGCTGCGACACGCAGCTGGTGGTGCTGCAGCAGCAGGAGCAGCGCGACCAGCGCGTTCAGGACGCCCTCGACGGATTCTCGGGTCAGCTGGACACCCTCCGAGCGCGCCTCGACGCGCCAACCGGGTCGGTCGGCGGCCCCGCGGCCGGTGGCGCCGGCGGCGCGGACGTCGGCGGCGACTGCTGCCGGGACCTCGCGTCTCGCCTCGGCGAGCTCGAGTCGCGAGTGTCGCTCGTGGGCGACGCTCACGACACGCTCAACGCTCGCCTCGACAGCGAGGTGGAGCGCCTGGGCGGCGTGGCGGGCGGCGCGCTGCCCGAGGACGTGGACGCTCTGCTCCGGGAGCGCTTCGACGACCTGGAGGCGCGCATCAATGCGAGCGAGAAGAACGCCGAGGTGCACTGCCAGTACGTGCAGGATGTGCTGCGGGGCCAGTTCGCGGCCGACATCGACGGCATCCAGACGGGCCTCGACAGCAAGCTGCAGGGCTTCGAGGACAAGTTCGTGAACATCATCACGGAGATCGGCGGCCAGGGAGGAGGAGGAGCGGGAGGCGACGGGGCTGACGGCGCGGGCCTCCTGGGCGCCGAGCTGGGCGACCTGCGGGCCCTCCTCGCCGGCTTCGCGGCGAACTCGTCGGGCGCGGCCGCGCACCTCGACGGCATCGAGGGTCGCCTGCGGGACTTGGAGGAGGTGTGCAGCAGCAAGTGCGTGGTGAGCGAGCCCGAGCTGGAGAGCATCAGGGCGAGCATCGCCGACTGCGGCGCCAAGCACGAGCTGACGCTGCTGCGCCTGGAGCGGCAGAGCCACGCGCTGCGCGTCGTCAACCGCAGCGTCCACGAGCTGCAGGCCCGGCGGCCCGACGGGGGAGGAGGTGGAGGAGGAGAAGGAGGAGGTGACGGGGACGTGGGCTCCCTGCAGGGCGAGCTCACCATCCTCAAGGTGAACTTCAACGCCTTCAACCGCACACTCAAGGGGCTGCGCGACGCGGCCGCGCGCCGCGAACACGACGAGCGGCCGTCCGAGACGTCATCGTCGTCATCGATGACGACGACGGTGCTGGAGGAGAGCGAGCGGCAGCTCGTGCACGAGGTGGCGCAGATGCAGCGGCTGCTCAGCGACCACGGCTCGCGCATCTCGCTCGGGGACCGGCGCGCCCGGGGGCTCCGCGCCGAGCTGGGGAAGCTCGCGGGGCAGATCGTGGCGGAGGTCGGGCGGTGCAAGCTGTCGGCCAAGGCCGCGCACGAGGAGGTGGGGGCTCGCGCTCGCCGCTCTCGCGGTGGCGGCGGTGGTGCTGTTGAGAGTGGTGGTGTTGATGATGGTGGTGGTGTTGATGACGGTGGTGGTGCTGATGGCGGCGGTGGTGGTGTTGATGGGGGTGGTGGTGTTGATGATGGTGGTGTTGATGATGATGGTGGTGGTGGTAGTGGTGGTGGTGGTAGTGGTGTTGATGGTGGTGTTGATGATGACGGTGGTGGCGGCGGTGGTGTTGATGATGACGGTGGTGGTGTTGATGACGATAGTGTTGATGATGACGGTGGTGGTGTTGATGACGGTGGTGTTGATGATGACGGTGGTGGTGTTGATGACGATAGTGTTGATGATGACGGTGGTGGTGTTGATGACGGTGGTGTTGATGATGATGACGATGGTGGTGGTAGTGTTGTTGACGACGGTCGTGGTGGTGTTGGTGGCGGCGGTGGTTTTGACGACGATAACGACGGCGGCGGCCGGCGGTAGCTCCTTGCGACGACACGCGACACGTGACGACGTGACACGTGACCACGTGCTGCCACGTGCTCCGCCGCGCCGGTCACCGACCGTGACGAGTCTCCCGCAGGTGCACGGCTTCGACGGCCGCGTGGCGCACGTGGAGGACGCCTGCCACAAGCTGCACGCCTTCTCGCAGAGCCTGGACCGCGTGCGCGACGCCACGGAACGTGCCGCGCACGACGCCCGCTCTGATATCGCCCGCCTCGAGCGCGCCGCCGTCTCCCAGCAGCGCGACGTGGCCGAGCTCAAGGGGGCCATTGACGGTGTGGAGGGCCGCCTCCGAGAGGTGGCGGCCGCGGCGAAGTCGGCGTCGTCGTCGTCGCTTGCGCCCGGGGCCCCGTCCGGTGACTGGCGCGGCACGATCTGTCGGTCTCAGATCTTTCGCGTGTGTGCGTGGATCTTTGTGTGAGACTCTGCGTGGATCTCTGTGTGAGACTCTGGGTCTCCGTGTGTGTGCATGGATCTCCGTGTGAGACTCTGGGTCTCTGCGTGTGTGTGGATCTCTGTGTGAGACTCTGGGTGTCTGCGTGTGTGGATCTCTGTGTGAGACTCTGGGTGTCTGCGCGTGCGTGGATCTCCGTGTGAGACTCTGGGTGTCTGCGTGTGTGTGTGGATCTCTGTGTGAGACTCTGGGTCTCTGTGTGTGTGCGTGGATCTCTGTTTTAGTTTGTTGTGGTGGTGGCACACTGCGCTTAGAACCCGGCGACCAGAGTTCGATTCCCGCTTGCGGTGCGTGACGGTGCGTGAAAGTGCGTGACTGTGCGTGACGATCCGTGATGATGCGTGACTGTGTGTGGCTGTGTGTGTGACTGTGTGTGACTGTGTGGCTGTGTGTGTGACTGTGTGTGTGACTGTGCGTGTGCACAGGGGCACTTGCTCCCCACGCCCCCAAGGCGGCGGCGTTCTCCGTGTTTCTGTCTTCGCGCTCCGCGGGAGACGTCGTGAGGTTCGACCGCCTCCTCCTCAACGACGGAGACAACTACGAGCCCACGACAGGTGCAGGTCCACCCCGCTGCATCCACCCCGCCGCGTCCACCCCGCTGCGTCCACCCCACGGTGTCCACCCCTCTGTGTCAACCCCGCCGTGTCCACTCACCCGCTCACTGTGGTTTGGAGCTCATAGCCGCAGTCGCACACGGGAGAGACTCCCCGATTCTCCACTTGTGGTCATGACGATGATGGTGACGATGATGGTGAGGATTGTGATGATAGTGGTGACGGTGATGTTGGTGATGACGGTGAAGTTGGTGATTATTGTGATGATTGTGATGATGGTGATGTTGGTGATGATGGTGAGGATGGTGATGATTGTGATGATTGTGATGATCGTGTTGACGGTGAAGATGGTGACGATGGCGATGATTGTGATGATCGTGGTGATGGTGAAGTTGATGATGGTGAGGATGGTGACGATGGTGACGATTGTGATGATAGTGGTGATCGTGGTGACGGTGACGTTGGTGATGATGGTGAGGATGGCGATGATCGTGGTGACGGTGACGTTGGTGATGATGGTGAGGATGGCGATGATCGTGGTGACGGTGACGTTGGTGATGATGGTGAGGATGGCGATGAGTGTGATCCGCAAGGTGCACGCTTGCAACAGCAGTGGCATTGGCGGTGATGATAACGACAACAACAACAGAAACATCAACAATCGCAACGATGACCGCCGCCTCGACCCGGCGTTCCCCTTCTCTCCCCAGGCATCTTCCGCGTGCCCTACACGGGCCGCTACCTCGTGAGCGTCGCCCTCCCGGCTCGCACCGGACCCTCGGCGTCTCGCGCGACCCTCGTGGTGTCCGGCGAACCCGTGGGGCGGATCTCAACGGCGGGGGAAGGAGAAGGAGGAGGGGGAGGAGGAGGGTCGTGGCTCAACCTCGGCGGAGAGCAGAAGGAGGTTGAGGAGGAGGAGGCAGCCGCGTCCTCCTCCTCTTTCCTGGCGGTGCTGGGTCTCCACGCGGGCGACACCCTCTACGTGGCCAGCTCGCTCGGGCACGTGGGGCCCGGCGCGACGTTCAGCGCCGCGATGCTCTACGAGACGCAGGAGGGGATGCTGTGAGCGCGCGCGGTGTGACCGCGTGCGTGCGCGCATGTGTGTGTGGATGTGCGTGTGTGTATGTGCGTGTGTGGATGTGCGTGCGTGTGTGTGCGTGTGTGTGTGTGGACGTGTGTGCGTGTGTGTGTGCGTGTGTGGATGTGCATGCGTGTGTGTGTGTGGACGTGCGCGTGTGTGTGGATGTGCGTGCGTGTGTATGTGGATGTGCGTGTGTGTGTCCGTGTGTGTGTTGATGTGTGCGCATGTGTGCGCGTGTGTGGATGTGCGTGTGTGTGTGGATGTGTGCTCGTGTGTGCGTGTGGATGTGCGTATGTGTGTGGATGTGTGTGTGCGTGCACGTGCGTGTGTGTGTGTGGATGTGCGTTTGTCTTTGCGGGGGGGGGGGGGGGTTAGCGCGCTGCGCTGCGAAGCCAGCGACCCGAGTTCGATTCCCGCTCATGGCCAACATCGGTGACGGTTTTCTGAACCGGTCCTGGGCTTCCCCTCGGTCGACTCAGCCTCAAATGAGTACCTTGTGCAGTGCGTAAAAAATCGCCACTGGGGAGACAAAGGTGGCTGGGCGTGGTGCTGGCCACCCACCTTCTTGTGTGCCGTTCTGGCCTTTATAGGTGCTCGCTAACAGCACTTGCCCCAACAGTCTGTTGAGGCTATGGAGTGTGCAGGGCTCTTTTGTCGTTGTTGTATCTGTATGTCTGAGTGCCGTGACGGCTTTCATAGGTGCTGCTCGCTCACAGCACTTGCCCCTACAGTCCTTTAAGGCTATACGGGGGATCTTTGTCTTTGTCGTTGCGTTAGTGTGTGTCTGTGTGTGTATGTCAGCGTGTGTCTGTGTGACGATTATCTGAACCGGTCCTGGGCCTCCGCTAGGTCGACTCAGCCTCAATTGAGTACCTGGTGCTGTGTGTAAAAAAATTACAACGCCACTGGGGAGACAAAGGCGGCCGGGCGCGGTGTTGGCCACCCACCCCCTCGTGTGCCGTGTCGGCCTTCATAGGTGCTACTCGCTAACAGCACTTGCCCCAACAGTCTGTTAAGGCTATACGGGGGATGTTTGTCTTTGTGTAGTGAGTTCAACTGAGTCGCATACGTACACTTGGAGGAATTTATTTAACTCCAACACACGGGGTAACTGCCCCTTAACAGAATAACAACCTTTGGTGGTGATCACCAGGCTAAGGGTCCATAAATAAATGACGTCACGCACCTAGGGGGGGGGGGGGTCAGACATTTGTGACGATGTGTGACGAAGGGGGGGAGGTTGAGAAATGTGACGTCACATCAAAATGCGCAACTTTAAATAAATATAGACAACACGTTCTACTTAATTAAATAGACGTTTTAATAAATGTTTTCTCCTACAACATCAGAATGCAGCGCCACATTAAATACTGTACGCACTACAATGACAATAGTTTAAAGCGATTTGCCGCATGTTTAAATTTTCAAAATGGAAATATGGTTTTGGGGGGGGGGGCAGAGCTTTGTGACGTCATATTTGAGGGGGGAGTCTGACTTTTTGTGACGCCGTGTGACGAGGGGGGGTAAAAAATCGTCCAAAATCGCGTGACGTCATTTATGGATCTGGACCCCGTGACCACCCCTATCCCCCTTTGTAGACTTAACTGGTCACGTGTCCTCTCGGGTCAAACAGAGTGCCACGACCTTTAGTAACCTCGTGCCTACGGCCGGCACTCCCACACCTTGTCCTGTAGGGGCTGGCACTGCACGCCTAGGGCGTGCAGTGCCATCCAGCACGATCCATCAGCGCTCACCGGGCCCCTCTAGGGCCGGTACTACACCCACGTGTAGTACCGGCCCTATGTCGCTACATTTGTATAAGTGTCAGTGTATGTTAATGCACGCTTGCGTGTGTGTGTGCGCATCTGTATATATGTCGTGCGTAAGCGTGCGTACGGGGAGCGGCAGTGCGCCACGAACCCGGCGAGCCGAGCTCGATTTGCCACTCGTCTGAACCGGTGCTGGGTCTCCCCTAGGTCGACTCAGCCTTAAAAAATGAGTGCTGCGGTGCGTAAACGCCGGAAACGGAGCGTGGGGGGGGGAAGCAGCCGGCCGGGCATGGTGACGGCCACACCACCCCCTGGTGCGCCGTGCCGGCCTTAATAGGTGCTCGCTAACAGCACTTGCCCCAACAGCCTGTTAAAGGCGATAGGGGGGGTTGTCTTTGTGTAAGGGCTGTACATGTGTGTGTAGTGTAGCGGTTAGCGCGCTGCGCTACGAACCTGGCGACCCGAGTTCGATTCCCGCTCACGGCCAACGCCGGTGACGATTATCTGAACCAGTCCCGGGCCTCCCCTAGGTCGACTCAGCCTCAAATGAGTACCTGGTGCGGTGTGTAAACATCGCCACTGGGGAGACAAAGGTGGCCGGGCGTGGTGTTGGCCACCCCACCCCCTCGTGTGCCGTGCCGGCCTTAATAGGTGCTCGCTAACAGCACTTGCCCCTACAGTCCTTTAAGGCTATACGGGGGATATTTTGTATCTATCTATCTATATTCCCGCTGGGTCTCCTGGTATTTGTATGACTTCGCCAAGCACGTGTCACCTGCACCACCCCGCGCGCGCCCCATCACCAAAAAGCAATCCGGACTCCGCTGGGCCTCGGAGGCGTCGCTCGCGAACGGGCGCGGGGCAATTCGCAAGAAGCTGCCCGGCCACGCGCACAGGGTTTAGGAGTCCAGCAAAAGCCCGACGTCGGTGCGACGTTATCCCGACGTTGATGCAACGTCGGGGTAACGTTTCCACGCGTTGACGGGGCGTATGCACGTGTAGCACGCGCTGACCGAAGATGGGTGAGAGGGCCCTTCTGTTTCCGCGTTTGTTCGTGGAGCGCTTGAATTGCGTTGGATTATAATTATTATCAAGGCAAGAGCCGCTTTCGTGGCTTAATGAGTCGTCCATTTAAGTAACAGCAACAGTAGTAATTTGACATAAAAATCGAGACTCTCAACACGAAACGTTGTCATCGTATGGTGCTATCACTCGCAACGTCGCGGTTCACCGGCGAGATGCTGTACAAAGTTGGGGGGGTGGGGATGGGAGGGGGGTTTCACCTATTTACCTATATCAGTAAGTCATCTATAAGACGCAGATTTAAATTGTCTAACCCTCGCGCTGAGAGCGGTCGCCAAATATACGACGATGGTGGTGTAAGGGTGGCCACGATGTCCACGAGACTGTTTTGCGTGGTTTTTTCTTTTTTACAAAGGGTTTGTTTTTCGTGGAGCTGAAATAATTGTTATATTTTAAACGCAATGGTTTATATATAGCATATTGTTATATATGCATCTTTGAAGCTGTATTTAAGAATAGACCAGATAACAAAAAAAAACTTCTTTTGTATCGCCGAACTTTTGTGTTTTTATACAACAAATAAACATCGATTACAACTTTGGTGGGTGGAGAATCGTCAATTTGTCAACTGGACCTCCGCCATCCGCACATCTCAACATCTTCCTGGCTCCCATCATCTTCTGCCCAGCTTCAACTCATTTCTTCAGAACGGCTTTGTGTGTTGAGTGTTGGTACATTTGGGTGTGGAATTGTCCCGGTCACCCCTCCACCCGTATTGTGTCGCTCGGACGTCCACTTACAGGGCCATCATGGACCAGTTCCTGTGACATACGCCGACACAAAGGGGATTGTGCGATGCCCTGCGAAACATCCGAATGGATTCTTCACTTCATGAACACAGCACGCAGATAGCACAATCGCGATACAATTGGAGAAAAGGGGGACGATTGGAAACATAAAAAAAATAAAAATAGGCAAGAGAGGTAAGGGGCCGTCCATAAATGACGTCACGCACCTGGGGGGGGGGGTCAGACATTTGTGACGATGTGTGACGAGGGGGGAGGGGTTGAGAAATGTGACGTCACATCAAAATGCGCAACTTTAAATAAATATAGACAACACGTTCTGCTTAATTAAATAGACTTTTTAATAAATGTTTTCTCCTACATCAGAGTGCAGCGCCACATTAAATACGCACTACAATGACAATAGTTTAACGCGATTTGAAGCATGTTTATTTTTTATTTTGGGGGGGGGCAGCTTTGTGACGTCATATTTGAGGGGGGTCTGACTTTTTGTGACGCCGTGTGACGAGGGGGAGGGGGTCAAAACTCGTCCAAAATCGCGTGACGTAATTTATGGACGGCCCCTAAACGCAACTGGATCATAATTTCTTTGGAACGCTTTTTGGGGTTGAGTTTGTCCTTCCGACCGCACCTCCGATAAGCACGGTTGGCTACGTACGGTGCGAAAGAAGTTCAACGTCGACACACAACTACTGTGGGGGACACGAGTGCCTTCATCAGCCACCACCGACTCGACAGCTGCCACTTTGCCCCACGAACTCCCCCCACTTCGCTCGCTTCCCAGCCGCAGGGGATCCGAAATGCCTCTGCCACACTTCTCACCCACACCTCGACATGAGACCACATCGCCCCGATCCCTCCACTGGCTCAAGATCCAATCCCGGATCAATGTCAAGATCGCACTCTGTAAAATCCTCACCTTACTCTAATCCCCTCCACGCACTCTCCTACCTGTCCCCTCTCATCTCACTCTACCCCCCTCCACGCACTCTCCTACCTCTCCCCTCCCATCTCACTCTACTCCCCTCCGCGCACTCTCCTACCTCTCCCCTCTCATCTCCTCCACGCACTCTCCTACCTCTCCCCTATCATTTCACTCTCCTCCCTTCCACGCACTCCCCTACCTCTATCCTCTCATCTCACTCTACTCCCCTCCACACACTCTCCTACCTCTCCCCTATCTCACTCTCCTCCCTTCCACGCACTCTCCTACCTCTTCCCTCACCTCACTCTATTCCCTTCCACACACTCTCCAACCTCTCCCCTTTCTTCTCACTCCACTCCACACTCGCTCCACTCCAGCAGCCAAGGCGTTCTGTCGAAGTTCCCGGTCAACCTCCGCTCAGTGGGAGGTCGCTCCTTCTTCTCTGCTGCCCCCCATCGCCTGGAACTCCCTACCTCCACCGACCGTGCTGTTGACTCCCTGCCCTTGTTGAAGTCCATCTCCTCTGCCTCTCACCGTTGCTCTGCAGCGTCTCTCGCTACACGCACGGCAAATCTACGTTGTCAAGTGCACCGAATGCCACGGCCACTGATGGGAGGAGCCAATGAAAATGAACACACGCTACATGGCTACAGAGCAGCCTTAAACTTTATTCGTGATATCATGGCACATTAATGATTATTTTAATACAGTATTTCCCTTTTCCCCATCTTTCACAGAAAGAATGTGGACATAATACAACTCTCAAGGTAGTTTTTGTTATTCACAATAGCTGTGTTTATACATACACCGTAGATAATGTGTATATATATACTACACGACCGATATATGTTTTGCAATTATGCACAAAGCACCCGATTCAAAGATCTGTGCGTGTGCCGGCTAAAGCGATTCGGTCTTCGGAGCGACGAATCCAGCACCACACACGAGCGTCGCTCCGCTTTGGCGGCCAACCAGACGCCAAAGAAATCAGCGCGGTGCCCCTCAACCACGCAGCAGCAGCGGCAGCAGCGACGCCAGAGAGAATTAATCCGGCAGAGTTCACCTCTCTCTCTCCGGGGAAGTTATCGGCAATAAGCACTTCGAGTACCGTAAACAACACGGGCGTGTGCCGCCGATTCCCTTCGATTCACATCTTGTCCACTCCCGTCGTGTCCCGCCCGCCCCACCTCGACTCGCATCGTTTCATGTGCAGGCGCAAGAGACTCCTCGGTGAGTGCGGCGGTCGTGAGGTCCCTGAGTCGACGGTGTCTCGACCGGGGGGGGAGGGGGAAGAAGCGGCCGGGGTTTTAGAGAAACAGCTCTCACACGGCGTCTTCCGGTCGCCGCGTAGTCTGGAAGGATGTCCGACGTTTCATTCCGTGTGGGTGGGGCGTACGACGAAAATCCGCGCGGTCGGGGTTAGCAAGCGAGTTCGTCTCGGTGTACACCGATTCTAGGCAGCGGCCGTCGCGCGGTTCCAGTCGTCGTAGGCCTCCGCGACCTGCCACCCCGGCTCAGAAGGTACGACGACGACAGCGAGCGTCGTCGCCCAACGCGAAGACTTAGAGCCGCGCGCGCGTCTCTCTTGCTCAGCCAGGCCACAACTTCACCGCAAGTGCCGCCTGAGCGACACCGCTGGGAGGAGGAGGAGGAACGCAGCGCACGCACGAAGCCTTCTCCCCGTCGCGGCGTCCGTCGCTCGGGTTCCAGCGGAAAACTCACGAGCGGAGTTCACATCGCGCAAAAGGGGTTTTAAATCCTTGAGCAACATTCAGAGTACAACTGGTTTTATTACCCCCCACCCCCCCACCCAGCCGCCCCCCATTTAAAACAAGACGGAAATCCAAGCGGCTGTGAAACCCACGTGTTCCGCGGAGGCAACAGGAAATTATTTTCGCCTTCCATATATTTTTTTGTTCAACATTCTCCCCCCCGACTCGCGACGCGGGGAAATTGGCCGGTAGAGACAAAAGTCTCTTTTCCAAGTGCGACTTAGGCAGCTCTCATATCCGTCTGAGGCGGCGACAAGCCAGCTGTACACCACGTTCATCCTCCCGCTCTCCGCTTGGGTCTGGTCCGCTCCATGCCACTCTGCTCCACATCCCAGCCTCGTGCGGTGTTCCCATCTCCGCCCCTCCCACCCCTCCTCCACAGAGGCCGCAATCCATCGGTCCCGCCGGTCTGTCCGTCTGTCACAGCGGCTCGAGGTCGACGCTGGGCATCGGGCTGCGCCAGTAGGTGAACTGGCTGAACTCCTCCGAGCAGGGGAACGCCGCGGCATTTTCTCTCATCATCAGGGGGAACATGTGCTCCACCAGCTCGCTCAGCTTCACGTAGCTGTGGCCGCAGCACGCAGCAGCAGCAGCAGCGTCGCGTGGCAGGCACGGGGGAGGAGAGGAGGACAACGTGCGGATGGGGGGAGAGGAGGAGGATTTGAGGGTGGGTGAACAGGATGGGAGGGAGAGCGGAGGAGGAGGATGGGAAGAAAGAAACATTACACTCAGGTGCAATGCCACGTCTAGAAGCATTTTCTCACTCGAGGTATTTCAATTAATTGATTTAAGTTAATATTCACAACCCACCACACCGTCCCACAATGTCTGTGTGTGCGACTGCACAGTCACGTTGTAAACCCAAGCTGTGCAACGGATGCGATAAGCTAGGGGGCAACACTCAACCCCCCGTACAGATGGACACAGATGGCGATTAGTCCACTCGTCGTAGCGCCTTCCGCTGGCGAGCCAGGGTACGGCTCGACTCCTCGACGCCCACGCGAAGGGAGTTTCACACCATGTCTGCGGTGATCCAACAAGCCTAGCTGCTGCCTCTACAGTGCTGGACTACAGAGCGTCACCACCACCGCCAGGCAGTGTACACTGGTGTGTATGTTGGTGTGTACGCTGGTGTGTAGGTTGGTGTGTATGTTGGTGTGTATGTTGGTGTGTAGGTTGGTGAGTACATTGGTGCGTACGCTGGTGTGTAGGTTGGTGAGTACATTGGTGCGTACGAGTGCTGGCATCACTCACGAGGACTTGCAGCTCTTGGTCGGCTCCTGGATGAGCTCCCCGCGTGGGTTCACGGTGAAGATGCGGCTCTCCTGAACCCCCACCTGCCTGTAGGCGTACACATCCTGCCGCCCGACGAGACAGCGTCAGCACCACGGCCAGCACCAAGCACCCGCAACTGAACTCTCGCGTAGACTTAAACAGGATTCGCAGGCTTGCATCGGACCAATTAGATTTCCGTGGGGTTTATCGAGTGTGTCAGTTGTACGCGCACGGCTCGGAGCGCTGTCGCGCTGCACTTTAGGCGAGTCCTTACATTGGGGCGGTTTCCGAAGGCGGCGTAGAACGGATGCGAGTCGGCAGGGAAAAGTCGTCCGATGTCACTCAGACACGCGATCTTGAACTTCTCCGGCTTCTTCTCGATCACCTCCCTGTTGTGGACGACAGAGGCACTTCAGGTCGTCATCGGACCGCTCTACAGCGCGGTCACTCTCCCTCCCGGGCGTCCATTCATCCGCTCCATAACCGCGTGCCGGGCCGACTCCACAAATCCCGGTCTCAATCGTAGCACGCAAACTGAATAATTTAATGCGCGCGGTTGGCTACGTACAGGTGCAAAAGAAGATTCGACATACACACACATACATACGACGCTAAAAGAAGACGTGCTCTTGGGCTCAATTATCTATTTGCTGTACGTGCATAGTTACTGTCGGAGTAAACGCTGAGTGAGTCCTCACAAGCAACGCACACCAAACAGTACACATGTCTGTACTGCCACCTGCTGGTCGCTCCTGAATGTTTGCCTCGACGCACAGAGCCGCGGGGAAAAGAAGATTGTGAGAACCGTGGAGAAAATCTCCC